AGGCCAAGTCTCTGTGTGTGTCTCCCACTGTACAGTTTGTCTCCTCACACCTTGTCCACAGAGCCTTACCTCTCAGCAAGGCCCGTCCGGGAAACCGAGAAGCAAAACAACAAGGAAAAGAATCAGCGGGACATAGAAGGCAAAAAAAATATTAAAAAAGCACAAAAAATTAGAAAATAATATTATTTATCAAGAGGAAAAAAAACAAAACCACGAAACCAACACCATAATGCAAATCCATCACAAAGTCCCAATATACCACATGAATATTAACTTGACAATTTGACACCAAGAAGTCTCCAAATCCAGCACCATGCATCAAGGCTTTGCTGTTTCATCACTCCAGGACTTGCTCCCAGGCCAGGCTTCTGACAGGGCACTCTTCCCTGTGAGGAGCAGTGCCCCCCACAGCCCTCACTGCCATGGCAGCCCAGTAGAGCATCTCCCTCTCACCAAATCAGGGACACCACACTCAGCTGATAAATCCCAGCAGGAACAGCAGTATCAAACACGGAGACTTGCTCCCAGGGCATAGATGGTTTTGTTCCCTCAAGGACAAAGGCTCCACGCGACTCACCAGCAGGGAGAGGTCTCAAGGAGCTCAGAAGTGTTAAGGATAAAACCTTAGATTTATCTTTAGCTGCTGTTCTTCCAGAGCTTAGTCATTTTCTTTGGACTTTACCACACAGAACTATGATAGTGTGAATTTGGCTCTGATCTGAATTACATTTCATTGTTTTCCCATCAAGATTCTACATCATGCTCTGAATAGACTTGCCTTCACAAGCACCCCTTGGACTGCAGCCACAAGGGCTCTTCACAGACAGTGAATACTCCTGACAGTGAATAGTCCAGATCCAGGGACTCTCAGACTGAAGGGTGCTTTACTTGACAAACAAGATAACTTATAAATTAAGATAAGCCCAGCATTTGAGGCAGACCTGGAATCCTACAGCTCCATTCTTACAAAAACAGGAGAAAGATAATTAAGTCTTGTTACAAACAGAATTGAAAGTTTTTCCCCTCCAAGAACCTTACTTAAAGAAAAAGTCCATCTCTAGCAATCACTGTTTTGTAGTATCAGGTCACCAAGAGGGTCAGAAGGCTAGAGCAAATGCCTTGTTAGGAAAGGATGAGGACTGAACCTGTTCAGACTGGAAAAAAACGATGGCCATTCAGTAGGGAGGGCACCCAGTAGCAGCTAATACCTGCAAAGTAAAATGGCTGGATAAGGCCCCTTAACAGTTATCATTCTGAAAGAATAAGTGTCTTTAACAGAGGTACATAGCAGGAAGTCAAGAGAGAGTGGTCTTAAATTAAAGCAAGGGGAGGTTCTGACACAACTAAAGGAAATCCTCTTCCATCATGAAGATGGCCAAGTAGTGGAACAGCTTCCCCAGAAAAGCTGTGCAGTCTCTCTTTCCAAGGACCATGGGATAAAGACCTCAGTAACCCACTCAGAGCTCACAGCTGACCCTGCTTTGAGCCAGAGGTTGGGCTAGAGAGCTCCTGAGGTTCCTTACAAGCTAAACTCTCTATGAACTGCACACCTCAGAGCAACCTTCTGGCAGTCTTCTGCCAGAACCAGCCCCACTTCACAGATCATTTAAAAAAGGAGCACGCTGCACTGATCAGGAGGGACAAGGCCTCTGATCCTCTTTTGTTATTTCTTTTCCTGTGTGAATTAAGAGTAAATAAAATGTGAAGACACAATCCTCTCCAAATTATTGTGGAGGCATTACATGGCATTCATTGTATTACAGGAGTAATGGGAAAACTGCTGGCTTTGTACTCCTTTGGAAAACTTGCTGAAATACTGTAGTTACAAACTATCCTCCAGGATCTGGTAGCTTTCCTTTTAGGTGAAATTTAAGGCTAGTTTTCCTTATTAGAATGGATGCAATACTGCACTACGCAAGAAAACACTTTGCAAAATCTGTTTTGAAGTTTGCCGAGGAGGGGTAGGATTTACACTTAGATACGTGCACAAAGCCTTGACCTCAGAAGTGCAGAGCCTGAATTTCACAGAATCACAGAACGTTAGGGATTGGAAGGGACCTCAAAAGATCATCCAGTCCAATCCCCCTGCCGGAGCAGGAACACCTAGATGAGGTTACACAGGAAGGCGTCCAGGCGGGTTTTGAATGTCTCCAGAGAAGGAGACTCCACAACCTCTCTGGGCAGCCTGTTCCAGTGCTCTGTCACCCTCACTGAGAAGAAGTTTCTTCTCAAATTTAAGTGGAACCTCCTGTGTTCCAGTTTGTGTCCATTACCCCTTGTCTTATCATTGTTTGTCACCGAGAAGAGCCTGGCTCCATCCTTGTGACACTCACCCTTTAAATACTTATAAACATGAATGAGGTCTCCCCTCAGTCTCCTCTTCTGCAAACTAAAGAGACCCAGCTCCCTCAGCCGCTCCTCATAAGGGAGATGCTCCACTCCCTTAATCATCTTTGTAGCCCTATGCTGGACTCTCTCCAGCAGTTCTATGTCCTTCTTGAACTGAGGGGAAAAATTTTTCTAACATGGTTAAGTCCAAATCCACATTCACTTGTCATTAAGCAATAGGACAACCTTTAAAAAAAAAAAAAGTTATTTTCTTGGAGGGAGGACATTTTCTTCATAATAGCCTGGATTTACTACATTTCCAACTGGATCATATCTAGCCACCACAAATGTTGAGCCGTCACTAGCAGATGCTTTTCCAACTCCCATCATTTTTGTGTTCTTCCAAACCATTGCTGTGAAGTGACCTGTCCCAGAAGAAAACCCTGGGTTCTGAAAGCTGTAATTTTTTTATTTCACTGTACCATCTGTCAGCCACATCCTTTCCTGGTTGGTCATAGGATGCCCATGCTAGGTTTTCTCCACATTTTCTGTTAGAAGACTCGGAGCTGTGTTTGAGGACCCTCGTGGTAGCCAGTTCTTGTACATACTGTTGGGCTCCTCTGTTTAACTTCTTGCAGAGCTTTAATGGGGGGACTCCGTGTTTCTTCCTGTAGTCATTATGTGCTTTCAAGACTTCTTCGGCAAACTGTTTGGAAGCTGATTTTCCCATATTCAAGTGGTGGTGGCTGGTTTTTTTTAATTTCACCTGCTGCCTCCTCTCCTCAGCGAGTTCCACTGCTAAGCACTGTGGATGAAGTGTTTGCAGTTTCAGCCCAACTTCTTCAGTCGCCCGCGGCTAAGTAGTTCCCCCTCACCCATGTTTAGCCTGCTTACTATAAGTGTGTAGTAAACATTTAAACAAATATATTTACTACTTAAAGAGCTTAGGTAACAAAGCCTTTTAACAACCCTATTTTATTCCAGCAGTAGAAAAAAATGCATAGGAGCACAGTACATCCCTGATCTCATAAGGAGCCAGCTGTCATCTAAGAATAAGAAACAGGCTACAGAATGAATACTGAAAAACATCTCAGATTATAACTAACTGTTCCAAATTAAGCAAGGGTACAAATGAAGTAATATCAAAACAGTGCAGAAACACTGGTTCATTCTGGGGCAAGGCCACCTTGCCCTACAAGAATGTCTAATTCAATGACTTACACTATTACTCATAACATACCAAAGCTGGGAGATTTCTCATTGTGTTGTGGAGCAGAATGAGTGCCAGCTTGCTATGCAACACCAGCTTTCTGCAGTTCCAATGCTCTGCACAACTGCAAAAACTCATACCAGAAACTTTTCAATTTTGCAAGTAAGATCCCACTTGCTTTCCCACATGTTGATGAATGTTAATGTGGGATTTGCAACGATGGGACACACTCATCCAGCGTGAATGCAAACACCTAGCTTCACAATTCTGAGAGAAAAATAAGACTGAATAGATCTTTAATCTGCTATTTAGTGAGGTTTTCCCACCTTCCAGCTGTAAGAGAAGTTTAAATAGGTATACCTGCCTTTTTTCTACTTCTGACAATTCCAAATATAGACTCAATAGACTAAACAGGTGTCATACTGGCAAATGCCCCTAAGAAATCTTCCACCCAAGTGAGCAATTCCCTGTTGTTTCCTCTCAGCAGAGGAAACCACATGCAAGTGTCATGAGGAAGAGCAAGTGTTCTGGTAGGCACAGAGAGCAGAGGAAGGTAGATCTATTATTAGCCACTTGTAGCTTCAGGTAAGAAGATGTCACTAAGTTTTCCTCACAAGAACTCTCTCCACACTTCTTCGGAATGCACAGCTACAAGTCATCCTCCATGCACATTGCCAGTCTCTACTTAATTTTTCAATGTGTTTTCAAAGAGCTACTTACTTTGTCTGTGCTTTAACACATTCCTCTGTCTTTCACTAACTCTACCTCATCTCCCTCTTTCATTTGCGTTTTTCAGTTGTCGCTTCTCCTTCACTATAACAATTTTAAAGTTCTTAATCTGTAACTAGAAGTAAATCTTCTGTTGAACTTTTCCTGAATTTGTTACAGACATAAGTTCTCATAAGGAGATCTTTTTTCAAGTACTTGCGAACTCCAGATGGTACAAATACCACAGTATTTGTAACCACACGTTGCTCATGATGTTTGGGACGCTGGGAACCCCAGTCAGTTTACCACCTATTTCCTCCTGGGCAGGCTTGACTTAGTCTGAATATCTTGCACTTCTCCTAGCACGATGGTGTCAGACTCCCTCATCACATCAGAGAAATCACCTCAAGACTACTTTATTAGATAAACACGTTCAAATGCAATTGAAGCTTTAATTTACAGGCCAGCTTCTGCTCTCAGATGCACACTTTGTGTTGGAACTGCTTTTATCAGGAAAGCTGAAGAAAGACAAACTACTTTCAAGTAACATTTCTCACACTTGCTTGTAGGAGGTTTGGATAACCTGATGCAACTGCATTGGCAATACAAGCCACACCTACTGTAGCATTTCCAAGATCAATAAAATAAGCTCAGACAGGAAGCATTTCCTAATGCTTTCTTATTCAGTACAGAGTTCTAATCTTGAAGTTTGAACTTTGTGCCATACTGTTTCTGATTATAGTGTGCAGTTCCAAGGTAGTATGATCATCTTTTCCTGTAGCTAAATAGTCACCATTCAGTTCTGCTTCTAACAAGATGGTTCTTTTAAAATAAAGGTCAGACAATGGCTTTGCAGCAGCAACTGTAGCTTGCTTATCTCATTTTAATGTAAAAGCAGAACAAAGATGGAACATACTTATGATCTCAGCTTGCAAATACTGTACAAGACAAGTGTTTTCTAGACAATTTCACTACAAGCATATTAATTTTTTGCTTGAGGGAAGCTAAAACAAAATTATAAATAGGTTTTCAGCAGATTATATATATGTATGTATTAAAATCTTGAAGAATTCCATTCCAGTACTAGAAAGTAAAACTTTCAGAAGTATACTTATGTATTTCAAGGAAAATTCAAGGATGGTTCCTAGATAAATTTCAGACATTATAAACAGCAAACAACTGCTTATTTAGGGTAGTGTTATTTGTAGAGCAACAAGCAAACCTAGGGTCAAAAAAGCTTGACATTACAACATTAGAGACTACGAACTGAGAATATTTTAATTAAAAAAAGTGTTTACCAGCTGGTTGGTGTTCCTTTTGACATACAGACTGACAGCAAGGAGCAGCAGATCTTGACCAGCAGTCTGGATCATTCCTTCACATTGTGCTACTTTTCCATATCCTGCCTGTACATACCAGAACTCCAGCTTGCAATGATAAGGCTGCAAAACCAGAGTTGTCTCCCAGTCTGCTAAGACAACTCATTACAGAGCATAACAAAAGTGAACACAATACACTAAGAGTAATTTCCATAATTTCTCTCTTTATTATCTCAAGCAAATAATGTAGGAAAGTGAGCAATTTTAGTTCATGGTTGTTTGTTTTCATTTGGTTCAAGCTTAACAAATGAGAGCTAGACTATCACATTTGTTATCTTAAAAACACCTACACAGACATGAAATGAAAGTTTTAGCCAGTGCTTAAGACCTTTTTTCCTATCAAAAGTAAGAATGCAAAATACCACAATAAAGAATAAAATCAATAGGCAGAGGTCCTAGGCACAGGTCCTTGCCACAGGTATATATGGCACTGGATAAGTTTTCCCCAGTACTTGGTCCAGATTCATCACATGCCTCTGTATTTTGATAACTACTGAAGTCACAATCTGTAGTAGACCAGAAATGAGGGAATAGCCAAGGTTTATTTCATATTGATCCAACCTGTCTGCACTGCCTTTTTGAGTACTGACAAAAAAAATGTCCAAGGAAGAAAGTCCCCAGAGATTAAATATGCCTTCTTATCACAGTGACAGTTTTCTCATCATGTTCAGCTGTTAAGCCTGACTTCCAGTTTCAGAACTTCCTTTCTGTCAAGTCATGACCTCATTATAATAATATTAATCGCATTTTTTTGTCTAAAAACCTGATTTTTTTTTAATCTCTTCCCTTACCTTTCAGTAAACAGTAATTCCAGTTAGTGAAAGAAATTATTTCTTCTCACTTACTTCCTCTGTTGGATCTTGGATAGTGAGACTCAGCTCATTAGCAATTCACACAGCAATAGGAGAGACACCAAGAGTCCATGGTGGCACAGACTATACAGAAATGAATCTGTTTTCTTCACAAATACATGCTTGTGCTTTAGTAAAAAAGTCAGTCTGAATGAAAAGCTTGCACTGGAAATGTTAAATAGAAACAAGCAGAACAGAGGTGATTACACAGACACACAAGGTGTTAATCAGCATAAAAGTCCAAGGAATTTTCAATAGCCACCACCTTAACTGGAGTCATAAGGAAAGTCCTGGGAAAAAAAAAATCACTAGCTACTTACAACTTCTGCAGAAAAAACCTACATAGCTATGCTTTCTTTACCCTTTTATATTCCCATTCTGGTGAGTTTACCGATTTTACTTTGCTAGTTATGCTATTAACTGTGTTTTCAAATAGCATATGTTCCTGGCATGGAAGTTAGCTTTTTGTGTCAACAGTCAGATTTCTCTCCAGATGCCCTAATAAAAATTACTTAATTAGATTAAAGCATATATGGTTGGGATAAAACAAGCAAAAAAATAATTGAACCTTTTGAGAGTAATGCCCAAGTTCTGTATGAGGAAACGTTCATCCTTCCTGAACATTAGACAGCACTATCAGTATGCTTCAAGCAAGGCATGAGCACATGCTTAATAGTTTTTGCCATTAGTTAGACCATCTGTAAGATCAGTAGACCAGAACTAGACCAAATGAATGCCAGCAAATCCCTTTCTTACTCCACTAAGAGTTACCTGTCCAAGCTTACAAAGACAATACAAACATTTAATAAAGAAAATTGCACAGCAGTTATTAAAAATAAACCACAGGGTATCCAGGTTAATCAGGTATCCTGCTCTTTTGAAAGTGTAGGCATAAGAGAGTAAGCAGAGTCCCCAATGTAGCAGGAGATGATAGTGTGACACACATGGAGCTTGACAGGAAGAAATAGACACACCTCTGGTGTGCGCAGAATCCTTTGTCCACAAAGGTCAAGTGGTTAACAATGTCTAGAAATACCTCTTAATCCTTCTGCTATCAAAAAGATTCAAGAGTGCACAGACACACGCTCCTTACACATCTTTGTTATCTCTTAGCCAATAACTAGAGCAAGACAGTAACTAACAAGAATTACTTGGAAACTCCATCCAGGGAAGGGAATGCTTACTGCTTGAGTATAGTTACTTTTAACACACTGAACTTGATGTTTAATTGACTCTCATTAACTACATTCATATATGTGTTGATGTAGTTATACCTCTTTGTTATGAGGAACTGGGCAAACTGTAAGTACTCTGCGGCTCTTGCAAAACACCACCTAAAATGTAGCACAGGCAGTGCTCAACCAGAGAGCTACTAAACTTGGCTGGGTAGAGCTGACACACACAGTTACTCAGGTGTGCCAGCACAGCACTTACCAAACTCTTGCAGTCATCAGAAGGTAATTAGCTCCTCCCATGCATCCAAACTACTCAACTTTCCAGATGCAGATCTCTGGGTTCAGAATTCAGCTCAAGAGGATGACAGACTTGGGATCTGACTGGCTCCCATCCAGCAGAGCTTAGC